GAAAAAGAAGATAGAAACGAGAGAAGGGAAGGGATAAATAGGAGGGATATGCCACGACCTTGGATCCAGGGAGGCCGAGAGTGTGTAATAACAATGCGCAACAAAGGAACACCTCCCTTTGGCTATGTAAAAATCAATGTAGATGGAGGCATCTCTGGTAGTGGAACCGGTGTTGCTGTAGCGGTTTGCAGGGATCATGTTGGCAACTTCCTCGGCTCGTCGCCTTTAGTACTTTTGGGCGTAAGTGACCCTGCTACACTGAAATCTATCGCTTGTTGCGAAGCGCAGGCATTAGCGGATGGTCTATCCTTGCAGAAGTTGGTTGTCGCATATGATTACAAGCTCATAGTTGATAATATCAAAGAAGGAACAAGAGGAGCTCACATCACTATTATTCGACAGATTGCTGGAAGAAGTGTTATATTTGTGTCGAATATATTATGTACGCAAGGGATTATATGGACTTAGAGTTGTAATTGGTGTGGTTAATTAGATACGAGTTGTATAGGAGTCGAACACTTGTATCCTAGTCCTCTTATATACTGAGGGGCACCACACGTTGTAACCAATGATGACGACTTGATAGCAACATGTGCGCGAGGGAGCCGACGGCTTGTGCCGGCGCCCAGGCGGACGTTGTTGCGGTATCTTGGGAAGGAGCGCCCGTAGTCATACTTCGGGAGATGTAGCCATATCGGTGAACCTCGTTAACAAATGGAGTGCCTCGATATGTCGTCTGTGATCTTGCATTAGCGTTTTATTCTGACAAGAAGAATCAACTTTGCGAGTTGTAGCTTTGGCTTTGAAGGTCGAGCATCAAACCATGAAGCTTGTTCGCTCACAACCTTGCCAATTTTTCACACTCGCTTGATCTAGGTCGTCATTTATGGCTTATTTCACCTCATGACCTTATTTGCATTCCTCTAAATATTCATGTGGATCAATAATGATTTGGCAAACCCCTAAAAAAAACAACATCGGTCTTAGAAATTAAAATTGATCAAATTTTGGGGAGGAGCCCAATAAATGTATCAGAGGGAGCATGTAGCACGCTCGTCATTAACCATACACTGTTCGTCGAGCAGTGTATTAATTCTACGGATACGGATGTCCATTGCACGCTAGACCGATGCAATGATCAAATATACCAAAAGAACACGTCGATAAGGTGCGACACTGGTGACGGGAAGGGGTTCCCAACAAACGGAATCATTTGATTATGGTCCAATCACCCCGTCACGCCTCGCATGTCATGCCCTGTCAGTGGCACGTAAGCGCAGCTCCAACACTATACCAATATCGCCACTGAATGTTTGGACCGTGGTCTCTGACATATTTTTTTCCCTATCTAACATGATGCCACAGACGTTCACGGACTCATCCGGGCATCTAAAATTCCGCGAACCGGCACCAAACCGGGGTAGGTTTTCGGGCGTCCGAACTCGTGCCTTGTACATGTTTGCTCGCTCCGCCCTACCCAAAGTCATCGCCCCGCGTCCCATTCTTGAACAATTGTCGCACACTCATGCTAGTCTACGGCTCCAGAGCGAACACGATTGGACGATGCCAGTCAGACGGGTGTGACCAAACGGAAGGGACGGCGCTGCTTCAATGCTCACGCGGTGACTAAGAAGTCTATTTCGGCCGTTGCGTCACGTTGAAGCAGTGTCGGTCTGCCTGCCCCGGCTATTTAAGCAGGCAGGCGGCACTAGCCAACCCGTTGCCAACTCTCTCCTATCCTCCCCCGCACCATCACCAACTCTCTTCTCTCATATCCTCGACCGAGCGATGGGCAGGTCCAACAATAGTGGGTGGTTCTTGTCACCGGCCAGTGGATCCAAAGGAAGCTCAGATCGTGGCGTCTCTGCCCACGGTCTTCGGGATTGTCGTCCTCCATCGCTTTGTCGGTGAAGGAGGAGGTTGTGATATCCTCCTCCTATGATGAGCAGCAGATGTCGCCGCCCCTTCTCGTCCACGATGTCAAATTCGGAAGTCACGTGAAGAAGCGGGTCAAGGAGGAGCCACAGTCGCCACCGCGCAGCCAGTTCGGGCAGTTGGTTCAGCCGACATCCGTGTTGTGTCGTTTTCCGTTCGGCAAGGAGGTGGCGCAGTCATCGTCGCCCCGTCGCTACTTTGAGAGGCAATGGCGCTTGATGCAGTAACATGAGGAGGAGGCGCCAGACAACACCATCGCTAACACGCGCGACTGCATCCTCCACTACCTCGGACGTGGTAGCGGCTCGTCCTCCTCGCACACCTAAACATCAACTACATTTGTTAGAGTTACCTCTACCCCATAAGACATAAGCCTGGATATCCAACAGTCCAGGTGTTTCTCAAAATGATCTTCAATACATTTCTACTCATTTTTACGTAATTTACGAAAATGCATATTAAAATACAAATTAGCCAAACTCACAATTAAAAGTTGTTTGCATTGATCTCCTATTTCAATGCTTTTCCAAAACATAAGAGTTTGCTCTTATGAAAGTCAAATAATTATGAAAGACAAAGGACCGCTTCATGCTTTAGGCTTTTTCAATATCATGATGCTTTAGGCTTTTTTCAATATCGTGTTCACGATGAGGGTCATCCCCCAACTTATCTCAGCATACAAGCATGCACCTCATCATACAACTATGAACGAAATAAAACTCACCTCAACATGCAATCATATATGGGAAAAATACCCACTACAACATTCAACCATGCATAAGGAGACGTTTTTCATTCAGTTATTCTACTTTTATTCATGTAAATAGATATTGTGCTATTATGCATAGTCATATGTATTTTAAAATTTGGAAATGTTAACGTCCACACGTGTGGGCGTTTGCATCTCGCCCACACGCGTGGATCCGCGTCCGTTTGTGAGCGCACGAATCTTGGCATGTTTCTAGTGCCACGTAGGATTGGCCTGGTGTGTGGGCGTTCAGCCGGTCGCCCACACGGCCGTTTCACCACACAGGAGGGGCTGGTGTGTGGGCGTTCAGCAGTTCGCCCACACTCCACTTTGCACGCACACACAAGGGCTAGTGTGTGGGCATTTGCCATCTCGCCCACACGTCCGTCTCCTCTCCCACACCCAAGCTGCTAGTTGCCATGTGTTTTGCAGTGCACATGGCAACTGCCCCTAGTGTGCTTTATAAGCAGGTGGCAACTCTCCTTTTTTACCCGAGTTTGCCATGTGTTTTGCAGAGTACACGGCAACTGCCTAGTGTGCACGTAAGCAAATGGCAACTCTCTTTTTACCGAGTTGTCATATGTTTTTGCATGGTACATGGCAACTGCCCTAACGTGCATGTACATGACAACTGCCCTAACGTGCACGTAAGCAGATGACAACTCTTCCTTTTTACATGGCAACTACCCTAGCATGTTTATGAGCATATGGCAACTCTCTCAACTGCCTAGTATTAGTATGTGGCAACTCCTAAAGTTATGAGGCGTGTGGGCGCTAGTTGTTTTGCCCACACGTAGGTGTGTGGGCTGTTCCTCTTATACACCACACAAAATGTGTGGGCGGACTTCCTAACGCCCACACATGTGGCACTTATCGGCGTCCTTAAATTTTAATTCTCGTGTTATCAACCCAAATTTTCATCAATCAATTCCGGCAACAAACGCCCAGTGTAGGTAGGCTGCAGAAACATCCGAGGTTTGCTTTAGAAAGCCTCAGGTTAGAACAGCTCCAAGACGAGGTGCATTAGGATCGAACATCATACGATGTATTAGAGCGTCTTCGGAGAGAATCCCATCACAAACCGTAATACACCATGATGTCCAGCCTTAGCCCCAGTTAAACCTCCTAACTGCTACTCCCTCCGTTCCAAAATAGATGACCCAACTTTGTACTAAATTTATACCAAAGTTAGTATAAAATTGAGTCATCTATTTTGGAACGGAGGGAGTACTACCAAAAATCTCTCATGCATCTTGACACACGTACTAGCTACTTCCCCACGCGCGCCACACGCCCGGACGCCACAAAAGGCAAAACATATACAGCATACATACATGCGCACAGGCGTACGTTAGAGGTACTTTATACCACTACGTATGTACGTACGCGACCCCCGCGCTAACGGTCTTGCTAGAACGCCGTGTCCAGGGACGCCTCAGCGAGCACGTCGAGCGGCGGGAACAGCGAGAAGCCGCCGTGCCGGCCGTGGAACAGGCCCAGCTCCTCGCCGGCGAAGTCGAGGAACATCTGGTACTCGGCCGCCGCCGCCGCAGAGTCCATCTTGTTGGACGCCGCCGAGGAGTCGTCCCCCGGCACCACAGCCTCCTCCTCCTTGACGGACACCGGCGCGGCCGCCTTGCGGAAAGAGCTCCCGATATCGGAGTTCCACAGGCGCAGGAAGACGTCGGCGGGCTTCGCGTGATCGGCCACCGCGGCGCCGGGGGCCGCCGTCGATGAAGAGGACGCGGAGCCGGAGGTGGTGGCCGTCGCCGCGGCGCCGGAGGAGGAGAGGAGCGAGAGGCGCGCCTCGGCCTCCAGGCGCGCGGTCTCCCACTGCGCCATGTGGCGCGCGGCGGGGCAGCCGGCGGTCGGGCCGGGCGGGGGCTCGTCGAGGCCCATCCGGCGGAGCTGCTTCTTGAGGTGCGTGTTCCAGTAGTTCTTGATCTCGTTGTCCGTCCGGCCGGGCAGCTGCGCCGCGATCATGGACCACCTGCGCAGCACAAAGAGAGCAGCAGGACAGGCCCGCCGTCACTTGCAATCATGAAAGATACTCCATTACTCACACCATCACCCTGATACTACGAGCACCAACATGTGTACTTCGTTGTAAATAAATTCTAATAGGACTACACGAGTTATGCGTCCGAAATGCTACATCAGGTCGCATCATTGAGCGCGCGTACGGGGCCATGCAAGCACTGTGTGTGTGCACAGACAGAACACAGTGGCACGCTGGGCCGAGCTCATGGCGATAGTGCGCGAGCTACAGTAGTGCCGAAATGTGCTTAGCTCAAGAGGTAAATTAAGGCTTGGGCTCTTACTTGTTGCCGACGATGCCGTGGAGCTGGACGATGGACTTCTGCTCCTCGGCGGTGAAGGGCCCGCGCTTGATGTCCGGCCGCAGGTAGTTCGTCCACCGTAGCCGGCAGCTCTTGCCGCACCGGTTCAGCTCTGCAGGCAACGCCACCCAGTGCAGTTCACACATCAAAACTCTCTCTAATGGAGAATTGGAAACAATGCAAATTTTGTGTTCCCCACGAAAGCTTGCTCAATCAAACTAGAAAGTACTAGTCCGCTTCTTTTACAAAACAAATAGCGATTTGTAGGGCAGCACAACCGTGCATGCAAAACCTGTAATCCAAAATCAAAATACACCATTGCTAGGTCCATGACTGGCACAAGAGTAGAACTTAGAAGAAACACCGAGCTAACGAGCAGTAGTAGAAACTCATGGTTGGACTGATGGATCTGAGGGAGAAGACGGACCTGCGAGCTTGGGGAGCAGGCGCCAGCTGCCATGGCCGTTGGCCTGGATGAAGTCGACGAGCTGTTTGTCCTCCTCCGGCGTCCACGGCCCCTTCTTGAGACCCTTCCTGTCGCAGCACGGCGCCCTCCCCATGGGTAATGATCTCCCTCGCGCTCCCGAGCAGGAGGAGGACTGCGAGGAAAACTCAACTGGTACTAGTAGTTGCTGGAGGATCGAGGCGCCACCGCGCGCACGAGGCTAGACCGACGTAGCTGTAAAGGCCTGGGGGATAGAGCGGATGGGGCGATGAATGCGATGTGAAACGAGAGGGGGGTGTCCCGGAGTGGAAGGGAAAGATTTGGGGGGCGCGGGGGACGAGGACGGTTTTGTTTGGGGCCGAGGAGGATCCCGGGGGCCGCACTTTAATGCCGGAGATCTCCACCTGCGCTGCCGCAACAAGAAACGGGGCACGCAGCGCGCGACAGGGGTGACATCCAGCCCAGCTCCGTTAAATCGTTTGCGTGTCGGGGCATGCATTCCATACGGGCCTCATCTCACAAGGGACGTGTTTGCTTGTCCACGTGAAGCGCAACCAAATCCGCGCGAGAACTCCCAGCCTCTCATCGAGGATGGGAGAGTGAAAGCATGGATCCTTGTGTGCCTACAATAGTTGTGCTCGTTGTGCCAAATGTTGTTGCTATTGCCACTGCACAAATGGCAACCGCAAAGGCAAAAAAGGATGGTAGGGGGTATAACATGAAGTGAGAGCCATTCGTGTCCACGTTGGTGCTTCAGAAAATGTGCGAGCTCATATCTAGTGGGGTTAGTGATGAGAAAAAGGCTTTCGCCCCGCTTTATTGATATAGCAACCGCCCGATACAACCAAGAGTTCAATGCTGGGGCAAATAACGTCAACAACATCGGATCGACGAAAACGAAGATAACCCAAAACCGTTGCGCCCACCGGAGATGTACCACCTCGCTCCAGGCACCTCGAACCTCCGCATATCAAGCAGCACCTTCAGGAAAGAACACGACGACGACGACGCTGCTGCCCGGACAGGTCCTAGGATTTCCCCCGGTACGCGGAGGGGCGTGGGGAAGGGGAAGATCCGACGCCCTTCAGGAAGGAAGGATGGCGCCCACGGGCGTCACCGCGTCGGTGCCGGCAAGCCGGCCCGGATTTCTCCCATCCGCCAACACCCACAACCCCGAACGGCCCGACGCGCTCCACCAGACAAGCCACCCACGTACGTGCGCCACCACGGCCTTGCCATCATCACCGCCGTCTCACCGTGGTCATCGAAGCGAGACCGACGAGAACGAGAGGGAGCAGCCGGGAACGAAGAACAGCAGCGAGAGCAACCACGCCGAAGGAGACAACCTCCACCGCCATCGGCGGTCACCGACCGGACACGGCAAGGGGAGCGTACCAGGCCCTCGAAGCCCAGCCGAGCCCAAAAGGGGCTCGTGAAGCACCCGTCGCCGAGCTGCAGTAGACGAGCCACCGACTCCACCACCCCCCGCACGAGCCGCGCCACCACCGGCCCCGCCGGAGCCGCCGCAGGCGAGACCGAGACAGGCCCGCCCAGACCCAGATGGGGCCCAAAAGGGCCCAGATCTGGGCCGGGAGGGCGCCGCCACCATCCACCGCGCCAGCGCGCCGCCAAGTGGCTGCGCCACCGCCTCTAGGCCACCCGGAGTAGCGCCGCCAGGAGCAGCCGCCGCTGCCGAAATCACCGCTGACCGAGGAGCACCGCCGCGGGACGCACCACCCGAGCCGTGGCACCGCGCGCGGGGAAGGAACGGCCGCCGCCGCCGTCAACACCACGCGGGCAGGGCCCGGTGGCGCCGGACGGCGGCGGCGGGAGGCGGGGAACGGGAGGGGGGCGCTGGGGGCGGGGAGATGAGCCCCCGGTTGCCTCGCTCGGGGAGGCGACGCGGGGGGCGGCCAGGAGGGCAGTTATATCTAGTGGGGTTAGGACGAAGAGGTGCGCTTGAACATCATTGAGAAGCAGCGTTTTAGTTTTGTGGCTAGGAGATGATCTCCATCCAGGTCTACAACCACCTTAGAAAGTGGAGACCTAGATGGATCCAAGTGTCCAAGCTTAGAGCATCTTCAGCCACGTACCTTTAATTCGACCCCTCAAATGCCTACGGGCACGCCCAGTCAGTGACCGGGCGTGTCCATTTTAAGTCCTTATTTATCCATCTGCACAGTCACACTTCTCATTTTCTTCCTCATATGTCCGGTCACGTGCATGTGATTGGTGGAGATGAAGAGAGAGAGAAAGAAAAGAATGAATAAAGAAAGAGAAAAGGTGGTCCGGGGTGGGGAGCATCCTATGTGGCGGAATGACCGGAAACGCCCGGGCGCATCCGCGAGCCCTCGTATTCTCCCCATATTTGAGATGGATATGAGGGTCCGCAGATAGCCCGGGCGTATAGGGATGATATGAGGGGTCCGGCTGGGTAAACTTTTTGCTACTTTTTCCTTCTCTCTCCTATCCGGTCAGTGCTCCCCGCGCCCACCCGGTCAATTGGAGGAGTCCGCCTGTAGATGCTCTTAGAGACCTTAGCAACGTGTCATGGAACCAAACCACTTGCTCGATCATTTTGGAGGCAGAGCACTACCAAGGCCCCGCGGTTAGCTCACGTCCTCCTTGTTTAAGCATGTCAACCATTGTCTTCTTCAACTAACAATGTTGTATTTCTTTCCTAGGATCACCCCAAAGATGCGGAGTTTCTGAACACAGCCATCTAGGACTACAACCAAATGCAACACATCTTCTTCTTCTTTGGGCTGGCAACTGTCAAGCATGCCATGGGCTCTGGTGAGCCGCTCGGTTTGCCCATGCCTGAGTTCCCAGACACTCAGGAGTCAAAGACCATCGTCCTTGATGGTCCAGATAAGGGCTTTGAGCACGTCTCTGTGCTTGATAGGAAGAGTAAGAGAGGCAGCTTGACGGAGGACGAGATCAGTGTCTTCACAAAGCATGACTGAGGCCGTCAAGGAAGTGGCAACCGCCATAAGGGAGAACAAGTCGATCAACGTCAACCCTGACCTCTACACCTGGACCAAGGTGACTTCAACCAAGAGGCTCCGATGGCTGCTCTAAGCCACCTGTTGGACAACAAGGCCTAGGGTATTGGGTTTGTTGCATGGCAGGCGCTCACAGGGTGCTCTGACTCGGTGAGATGGTATACACTGACCCCTCACGCTAATGGGCAACTTGCGGTGGTAGGAATACACTCTCTTTTGGATATCGTGGTAGAATGGCACCATAGTAGTAGTAGGGTGAACTTGGTATGTCGTATGATCATGCATGCTTGGTTATGTTTCATATCTAGTGTGCTCCATTGCTTGCTGCTTGAACTGTTGCTCTTCTGCAATGCTGGGACAAGTGGTATTTGGTGTTTCGAGGCAGCGTTGTAGGGGTTTACAATTCATGGGAAGCATGCAATGAACAAGTGTCGGGTTACAAGAACAGCTCCCACAGAGGGTAAGAGTAGGCAAGCGGTAGAGAGTGCTTACTCCAAGGCCCTGCTCAAGAAAGCATGCAACAGTGTTGAAGTTGGCAAGGTGAATCGATTGCTCAGGCAGAAGAACTTCATCATCATCGTCCAGTTCATTGTGATTGTCGTGTTGTTCTGTTGGTGTGATCGGTGTGATCGTGTGCAAAGGTGTAGCGGGTAAGCTCACCATGTAGGGTACAAGGTTACCACACCTTGTTGCCTATGTGCAACCAAATATTGTGTATTTGCATCTACCCGGCCAATGCAGGACACCAAACACCATTCCAAAATCAATCCCCTAATGGAGGCAGCCTCGACGCGGGTAACCAAGGGAGGTGCAGATATTGGTTTCCCCCGTCTTTCCTCGGTAAGGGCCAAGCGAGCAATAGATGCAATGCAGGCAAATTGAGGGGAGCAACCAAACACGTCCAAAATGATGTACCATGGCTTGGGCAGGTAAGGGAACCTCCTCCCCGTAAAAAGAGAGCATCTCGGCTCCTAAAACTGTCACACTATTCATAGACACAGAGGTGAGGATGGCCATCCAACTCTATCCCCTAAATGCATGGCTCTGTTTTCTTAAAGCCCGTGACACTCGAAATAATAACATATCAAATCTTCAATGAGTGAAAATATTCAAATGCGACAGTAGTTCAAATGTACTCCCTCCATCTGAAATTACTTGTCAGAAAAATGGAAGTATCTAAATGTATTTTTAGTTCTAGATACATATCCATTTTTGCTACAAGTAATTTGGCATGAGGGGAGTAAATATTACAATCCAGCTAAGTGTTGAAATAAAATAGTTGAAACATGAATTCAGCTACCTAGAATCCCCTTACTATACACCAGATTGAAGAACCCCATCACTAGAACCGAGAACCAGAAATCCCTCTCCAGATGGACCAGATCAAAGAACCCCATCGCCAGAACCCAGAACCAGAAACCCCTCTCCAGATCGACAACTCCATCGCCAAAACCTAGAACCAGGAACACATCTCTAGATTAAAAAACCCATAGCGAGAACACCAGATCAGAAAACCCATCCCCAAACACCTAAACTCATGGCATCTTCTTCAACCTCCGCCGCAGCCCTGACCATCCAAGTCATCGGAAAGCTCATGCCCGAATTACATTCTTTAGCACGCCCAGAATCTTTCCCAACTACGTAGCAGTAGGTTCTATGGTCTTCTCGATGGGTCTGGTCCGGAGTCAGCCAAGAAAGTCGTCATGAGGGGAAGGGAGGGGAAGGAGAGCACCATCACCAACCCCGAGCATGCGACCTGGGTCAGGCAAGACCAACATGTGCTCGGTTACCTCCTCAACAATTTGACAAAGGAGGTCCTGATCTAGGTAGTATCAATTCCCACTCCTGTTGCTCTATGGAAATATCTTCCAACCATGTTCTCTTCCACCTCCAGGTCAAAGATCAACAACCTTTGTGTCGCCCTCACCAACGCCGGCCTAGTAGGGGACTCAGACCATGGCCACCTACTTCGCGCGCATGAGGTCCCTTGTGGATGAACTTGCATGTGTTGGGAGTCCTATCAGTGATGAAGAGCTCATACCCCACATCCTCTCCGGTCTCGCTCTCAACTACCAACCACTCATCTCCGCCCTCGACGTCCACACCGAGCCGCTTTTTTCCTTAACCACCTCTATGCATTGATTTCAAACTTTGACCAACGTGTTCAACTTTTCCAATCTTCTCACGGCTTCAAGTCTTGAGATAATGTTGCAGCTTGTGGTGACCACAGTTCCTCTAAGTGCTACTGATATGTCTCCAACGTATCTATAATTTATGAAGTATTCACGCTATATTTACATCAATCTTGTATGGTTTGGTGAAATTTTATATTATTTTGATGGACAAACATATTAATCTAGTGACCAGTGTCAGTTCTTGTTTTTTGCAAGTTTTTTTGTTTCACAGAAAAGCCATACCAAATGGAGTCTTAACGCGATAAATATTTATGGAGATTTTTGTAGCGACCAGACCTCAAACAGTCTGATCTCTGTGCTCCGGTGTCATCCCTGGATCAGTAATGCTGACACCACACAGTACTCGAAGGATTTATAGCAGAGTAGCAATCACACACTTATTACATCGAGTGTCTCAAAAGAGAACTTATTACAATAAATATGGCTTAAGGCCATCTAATAATAATAACAGCGGAAGGCTTGGAAGATAAGTGAGTCCATCAACTCCAACGGCATCACTGAGTATAGAACCACGACCTAAAACTCCTTAATCGTCGTCTGAAAAGTCTGCAACATTAACGTTGCAGCCCGAAAATGGGTCAGCACATGGAATATGCTGGCAAGGTAACACATAGAGAGTAATGGAATGCAACAACTATACTATATGCATATTTGGCTGGTGGAAAGCTCTATGGTTACAGTTTTGCATAAAGCCAATTTTTCCCTACTTCACAAGGAATAAATTTAATTACTATCATGGTGGTTGTTAAACATTGAGAATGGTTGACAGCATTCTCAATCCCAATTAAGCATCATCATTAACCCAACAACATTAATTTTAGAGTAACATGTTGAGATTCAGATGATAATCCAGATACTAGATACTCAAGATGTCCATAACCGGGGACACGGCTAATCATGATTAGTTTGTTACACTCTGCAGAGGTTTGCGCACTTTTCTCCACAAGACTCGATCGCCTCCGTTGGATTTCTCGCACTACATGGTGTTTGAGAAACGGATGACCGAGACACAGTCTTTCAGAAGCGCTAGCACCTTACGATGGATAGACCGGTACACCTACTTTCCCCTACATCTGCTAGTCTACCCTGTAAGAGTTCGCACGACTTAATCAACTATGCCAGAGCCCATAATGGCTTGTGGCTGCACACGGAAGTTTC